GTGGTAGAGGTAAAACATTACATCAGATCTAGTGAGGCAATATCATAGCAATTCTGGCATGCAATTGATGCATACGTAGATGCAATCATACTTCTGGCGCTCATTTTCATCTACACATCTTATTTTCATAGTAAGATTCTATAGTAGGATAAATTTATTCCATTCTAAATATCTACTTATACATAAGAGTATCCATACTTCAACATATATCTAATAAGAAAAGGCATGTCAACTATAGCTTTTACTATTTCTAAGACATGAGAGCACACTATCGCCTTAACGTATTGACAAGAAATAAACTGGTAGAATCACACAATACTTCTCCCCGACAGGACGCTACATTCTGCACCATAACAGGTATAACAGGTAATTAACCAAGCCGATTTCAGCAAATATGAAAAGTAATCAGTAACTAAGAAATCCTATCATGAAACTTTAATAACCTTTCACTCTCCTGCAACAGAACTTGATAATCCCTTGGAATCATAACGGAATTGAAAATAAAAAGTTCAAAACTTTGGGAAATGGATGAAACTAATCATTACAGGATTGAAGAAAGCACCAATAAGCTATAGCAAAAAAGAAGTAAAAATGTGAAAACTTAACTAAAAGTGAACACTAAAGAAGCCCTAGTTAAATGCTTCTCACAGCTCAAAGTTATTTACTTTATTGTTAAAATCAGAAATGCTTATTAAACTCAACAGCACACAGGAAAAAACTAAATTTTGAAGGAAAAATTTATCAGCAAATTTAGTTTTACTTAAAAGAGAAAAATTAGTCCGATCAATTAAGAACAGACTTAGCAACATGCTCTTGATGGTCTATTAGTTACAGCAATTTAGGGTTCAAATTTGGGGATTTAAACTGAAGCAGCTTACTAGGGTTTCAAAAAGCTGAAACCTACTCACAAAAAATCAACAAGATTTAATTCGAAGGGATAATCAATTTAGGGTTTTGAATAAAAAGAACAGCTTTTTTAAAAAGCATCACCGGAATCCTGAAAAAACCGGCGAAAGATCGCCGGCGCCGGAGAAGGATCCGATCAAATACTTGTTTCTTTATCCGACTCAGAAACATGGAGATCCAATTACCGATTGGTACTATTTTCTATGCCATCAAAGGAGAATCACAAGCCTGACAAATATGTCACTTTCCAAAAACGGAAAGAACATGTCTCTTTCTAAGAAAGAAGAACTTTATTATAGGAAATTGGTGTATTTGTTAGATTTGTAATTCTCCTTCGACAAGAAAATTGTATCATTGGATAAGACGAACCACCATTTCTAGCATCTAAGGAAGAAAAAGAAACAAGGATTGATCATTAAAAAAAATTCTAACATAAAATGGATAGAATTTGATTGTTCTACTTATAATGGTTCAGTTATATAGAGAATTGTGATAGGTGGATGAGATATGTATTAAACTCTAGAAAGTACAATTAATAAATGAATAGTGATATTAATTATTATGTTCAGTTAATTACGTTTCTCTACCTTCTTAAACTACGAGTAAGATCTATATATATACACTATCTTATATCAGCTAGTGGTATTAATTATTATGTTCGGTCGATTACGTTTCTCTACCTTCATAAGCTATGAGTAAGATCTATATATACACTATCTTTCCCAAATTACACCTATGAGAATATACTGAATATGTTACGTTTCCCCAGACCCCACTTGTAGGATTATACTGGGTCGTTGTTGTTGTTGTTATTGTTGCTCGATCATTTGCCTTGATTTCACATATTATCATTCAACTTTCCCTTTAGTTTATTAAACTAAAATAGCTATACTATTTTTGTAACATAAAAATCACTCGATTTAGCTTAATTACTCCCTGTGTTTCAATTTAGATGAGCTAGTTTGACGTGGCACAAAGTTTAAGGAAAAAAGATTTTTGAAATATGTGGTCCCAAAAACTTGAGTGGTAAAAGCTTTGTGGGGCCATGAGTTTCGTGCGGCTACAAAAGTTTCTCATTAAGGGTAAAATGGGTAAAATAAAAAATTTAAAGTTGAATTGTTTCCAAATATATAAATGTATCGGTCTTTTTGGAACGGGCTAATAAGAAAAGTGTGTAATTTAAATTGAAACCGATAGAGTACAAAAAATCACTAAATTATTTTTTATAACAAAATAATCATTCAACCTTTTCTAAGAATCATAGCCAATCACAAAAATAGTAATTCAACTTTACCAAAGTATCATCTAAATGTCTCTATTGTTTTCTCCTAGTGACTTTTTGTGATATTTACGCCTAAATAAAGTTGATTTTTTATTAGAAAAAACAGTAACTTTCGTAATTTTAGGTAAAGTTGAGTACTTTTTTATTTACAAAGGATAATTTAATAACCTTAATATAATAAAGTAAAAGTTGAGTAACTATATATAAAATTAACCTTCAGTCGATTAATTTAAAAGAAATTGTACCACAATAGTTTTTCAATATGTTTATTATACATAATCAAAATCAAAATAATGCATGCATCCGGGTGAACGAGCCCGAATCGCCTAAAATTTTGCCGGTCCACATGACCGTTCCTCATTTTTGGCGTTTTTGGGCCACAAAATTAGAATTTCGCCCGATTTTCGGATTTTTGTATGTTATAGCCTATGTCATATGCATGCATCTGGACGACCAGACCCGAATCGCCTAAAATTTTGCCAGTCAATCAAAAATGACCTAAGGAACAATAGTGTCACGACCCCAAACTGACCCGGTCGTGATGGCGCCTATTATGAAATTAGGCCAGCCAACTCATTTCCAAAACAAAACCGCATTTTCATTTAAGACTTAAGAAAAACTATTTTTCAACAGAAATCCGATAAAGATATAAAATCAAGTTTAACAAAGCGGAAAAATACAAACCCGACCTTGGGTGTCACTAAGTCATGAGCAAAACACTACAATTGTCGTAGTAAACAAGACTACATAGTCTGAGAATATCCAACAAATACACTAAGAGGAAGATAAGGAAGGAGAAGGCCGAACTGCGATCGCCAGGAAGCTACCTCGCTATCTTCAAGGAAAATCCACAACTGAAATGATTAGCAACCGCTACCGTGGCCCGAGATACCTGGATCTGCACACAAGGTGTAGGGATAACGTGAGTACATCAACTCAGTAAGTAACAAGTCCAAACTATGGACTGATAGGTAGTGACGAACCAAACCTCAACAGGTAATACAATTAAACTGTGCAGAAAAATAGACATGCTTGCTGTTCAAGTAAAACTCAGCAGTAAATAAATACAGTCTGAGTAGTACGGAGTATAAAGCTCAGGAATCTCTAAGTACCTATGCACAGATAGCATGATCAATGTTCCGTATGTCTCCACTCAGAAGTGCTCAACCACTCGGTATTATATATGGCCATCCGGCCCAGGGAAGATCCATCCCGGAATATATACACATCACTGACCATAGTCATCCAGTCCCAAGGAAGGCCATTCCAGCCCTATGGAGAAGATCCATCTCTAGGTATCAATACTTCAGACAAAGTCCATGTCCAAGGAAGATCCATCCCTCGATATCATTAATTACGCTCCCTGGGGGTGTAAAGAATCCGGAGGAGCTCCTCTTAGCCCAAGCGCTATAACAAGCCAACGAAGGCATGTTCAATATCTCGCTGCGGTGTGCAGCCCGATCCCATATTGTCACTCAATATCAGCTCTCGACCTCACTCAGTCATCACTCTCCAGTCTCACACACACGGGCTCAAAATGTCATGATACTATCCCGAACAATGATATGACGTGCCAAATAACAATAATCGAGACTGAGGCATAATATAATATGCATAAATAGGACTGAATACAGAATATCAATGGAACTAATGACATGACAACAAGAAACGACCTTTCGGGTCTCAACAGTACTGGCGTAAAGCCCTAACATGATAATTAGCATGATTTAAAGCTCATTAACTTAATCACATAGTTACAATACAGATATTAGCAAGAAAGAGTCACTAAGGGGTGTCATGGAATGATCCCAGCCGCGATTCTCACGTTTCACGCCCACACACCCATCACTTGGCATTTCCGTCACCTCAATAGTAATCATAGAACATACAGTTCGGGGTTTCGAACCCTCAGAACCAAGTTTGGAATCGTTACTTACCTCAAGTCAAGCTAAACTCTAGCCCGCGACATCCTTGCCTCTCAATTCGGCCTCCAAATGCCCCAAATCTAACCAAAATCAGAACCATAACATCAATATATGCTAAGGGAATAAAGCCCACGCGAAAATAATCAAATTACATCAAAAATCCCGAAATTGATCAAACCCGACTCTCGGGCCCACGTCTCAGAATCTAATAAAAATACATCAATAGAATCCTTATCCTCCCATGAGTCTATACATACGAAGAACATCAAAATCGGACCTCAAATGGCCCCTTAAATCACCACTCAAAGCTCTCTAAAACTCAAGCTCTAGTCTACCAATTTCTTCTAGAATTTCCCCATTAATTTCATGATTATACCATGGAATAATTATCACAAACATAAAATTCAAGGTCCAAGTAGCTTACCTCACTGAAAACACTTAACTTCCTCCTTGAAATCGAAGTCTCCAGGCTCCAACTCGGCCAAAAATTGTGGATAAAAAACTGAAATTCGCGAAGTGAGGTATATATAGCTTCTGCCCAGCGATTTTTGCACCTGCGGGACTGCTTTTGCGCTCCATCCAACCGCTTCTGCGGTTTTCACTTAAACTCCCTTAACCGCATCTGCGACTTCCTACCCACACCTGCGGTCACGCATATGCGTTCCTTCCTCCGCACATGTAGCTCCTGCCCTTTTCACTTGTGGATGCATCTGCGGCTGCTTCCTCACTCCTGCGGACGTCGCACCTGCGGTCCCTTAATCGCAGGTGCTTACAGAACCAGCAACTTCAGCTGCATCTTCCAATTTC